CCAGGGGATAAGCTTCATAATCCTAAAGGGTTAGTGACTCAGAAATCACAGGCTAGTAAAGGTGTGGTTAAAGTAGTTGCAACTGTTTTGTTAACTGGTTACTAGAGCCTTGGAGAAACGTGTATTTAGACAACATGTAATCTCCAAACTGAAAAGTTCTTTCAGTGGCAGGAGATACAGATAGTAAAGCATCAGACCCTGAGCATTGGGAGCCATTCTATGGAGTCTCAGTAAATAACAATACGTCGGTGCTAGTGGAAGAATGAATTATTCATCAGTTCATATTGTGAAAATACACTTGAATATGTCTGGAAGGTTTTCTTCTGGGGAGCACATGCTGGAGGTCTGTGGGGATACGTATCAGAAAAAAGTAAAATATATGTTTGTGATGACCTCCATTAAATATATAAGGCCTATTTCTGTCTGATTTATTGTGGTATTTCCTAAACACAAGATAAGTAGCTCCTATACAGTTTTGGTGGTGACCTTCTCATAATGGCCATAGTAGATGTCTTTTTTATTTTTTTAGCCATTCAGTCTATAGCAATGAGAAGGGTGCAAATACTTCCTGAAACAATCAATGAATCCTTTTCTGCTCTGAGGCTAAGAAGAAAATTTCATAGGAATCAGTTATGAACACCTGAACTTGATGTTGGTAAGGAGAGTCTGGTTATCTTCTCTCCTCATATTTACACCAGGATGGAAAACATCCCCTTAGACCTCAGAGCCAAGGCTGCTATTGCAACATTATCAAATTACTAATTTTCTTTCTCTGCTCAATTATTTCCAGTTCTAGCATCTGGAAGTTTCCATTGAATCATCAGTTAACATCCCACTGGACGTAACCAAACATCAAAGCAAACCCCAAAACACATGGTGAATAGAGTTGGAACCCTTATCTTCCACGTTATTTTTCATCTGAAAAGAGCAAGAACTTATACACAGGGTCTGCCTGTCTTTCTGGTCTTAGGGCTTTGCTTTCACCCCGCAAACTACTCTTACGACATGAACATTTGGAAGGCTAACACGCAAGGATGGATTAATTTATCAAAGCACCAAATTCTGTAGAGGTATTTTTCTAAGTTAGCCCCCTTTGATTGCAAGACAGCAAGATGTACCAAGGGGACAGCCACATAGGTATGAAAAATGAATTGAGCCACAGGCAAGGCAACAGGGAAGGACTAAGATGTGTAACCATCATTTATTAAATCACATAAGCTACACAATTTTTTCTTCCTCAATAAGAAATTTTGGTAAACAAATCTATGCATTATAAAATGATGATCTTTTAATGGAAACTGTAACAACTCATTTCTTTCAGCTGGGGAAAAAAATAAAATAAAAAAATAAAAATAAAACAAACAAACCTAAACAAACTAAGTGATTGTTATCCACAATAACAATCAGAAGTTTGCAGCTTTACTTTTCACTTTACTAAACCATTTTTATGGGCTGGATTTTGCTGGGGGAAGGAGAAGTCTCCTGGTGGGTTCTTTTTTTTCAGCATAGGGTAATTAACATATATGGGTCACCACATCAGATGTAGGTATCCTCCAACACACTACCTCTGAAATAATGCACTGGATACAAAGACTACACAGAACTGTACACAAAGTACTCCATTAACAGCAGGTGCCCTACAAAAAAAGCTCTCTCTAAAAGAGCTTTTAATTACTGTATATCTTTGTTTAGAAGCCACCTTCAACTACCTTTTCCTTGTGAGCTGCAGGGGAAAGTAATTAAATGTATGAGAAAGCCGCCCTCAATTTAAAGCTGCAGGAGGAAATAATTAGTGTAACAGAAGTCTCAGCTTGTACACAAAGAAATACGGTACATGAAGTCACTGGAGGCTGGGTATTATTTTGACATAATTAATACATGTCATAAATCTTAAGCTGTGTGACTACTGAAAGTTGAAAGTCATAGATGGCTGTATGGCCCATGTTTATCCTCAAGTCTCCCTGTAACAACAGAATTGACTGTTTACACAAAATTACATTTATATTTCTCAGCTGTATAATTCACATCTTTTCTAAATTCCCTTTACATACCAAAAGGGTCTCAATATAGCTGAGTGAATCCCTTTGCTTCTAAGGGGCAGGAAGGCACCGGGGTTTATTTATTTGAAGGAAGGCCATTTAGATCTGGCTACAAAGGAAGACTTTACAAAGAGTAGGAAAGGCATCTTTCTGGTTTTGTTTAGTATTTGCCAAGTTTCCAAGTCTTCATTTTAATACTGGGACTAATCTCATACTGGGCTAAAACACCTTCAACCCTTTCCCCATCACAGTATAGCAGAGTCGATTTAGACACAGTGCAAAAAGGGATTTTGAAGGTTTGGTGTGTTGTGCATTTTTTTTCAAAAAGGAATGGAAGTTTATAAAATAATTTCAGTGGTTTTAGGAGCTAATTCTTGATGGTTGATGACTTGAAAACTTGTGAAAGAAAACCCAGAACAATCAATATGAACTCCGCTGAAGTGAAAGGCAAAAATGTTCCTGACTAAAGCCAGATTAGAAAATGCTTCACTAGATGGTGTTTTGTAAAGGATACAAAGGTTAATTAGATACTTTCTGTTGCATTATATAGTAGGAAACTTCCATTAATTACCGCTTCTTTAATTTAACTGATTCATTAAAAACTGACTATAGAACTACAAAAAAAAAAAAAAAAAAAAAAAAAAAAAAAAA